TTCCAAAATACTTATGTCGTCATACCTGTCGGAGCAATTCCAGACAGGCATAATTGATGATATATGTTGATATTTAGGTAATGTAATCCAAGGTGTACTTTGAATCCTGATAATTCACTATGTATAGTTCCCAACTCAACAATTACCTCAAATGTCTACGCGATCGATACACAAATTTATTTTTAATTCGAAAAAGAAAACACAGATACAGAAAATAGTCTTTTTCATCTAACTCAAATATTGTGTTTTTCCATGAATCCTAAATTGAAAACGGTATTGTTCGACAACGAACAAAAGGAAACTGAATTTTCAATAAACAATAATAATAATAATGATAATGATTGTGGATGATCTGCCGACCGCTGATCAGGTGGAATCATTCTGGGAGGATATCTATGAACCCTCGCAGCCACTCAACTTAGACACTCCAGCCCTAGCGCAATTCGAAGCTTTCAACAGAGAGCTTCGACAGCCTGAGCTCACTGAACTGCGCAACCAGATAACCTCGGACGACGTACGAAGAGCCCTCGTGGGTTCTAAGAACTGTGCTGCTTCAGACCCAGATGGGCTGAACACTTACTGATGGAAAAAACTAACAAGCACCCACCGCCATCTGGCCAGAGTTTTCAACTCATGGATGGACGGAGATCAGTTCTTATCCCCAAAAGCGGAGATTTGTCGATTCCTAAGAATTACAGACCGATAACATGCATGAATTCGTGTTATAAGTTGTTTACAAGAATCTTATACAAACAAATACTCACCACAGTTGATCGAGTGTTCGAACGGATATATGAGCAGAGAGGGTCGAAGAGAGGAGTCGATGGATGTAAAGAGAATCTGCTCATAGATAGATGCATAACACAGGACTCGATACAAAGTGAGCGTAACCTGTCTAAGGCCTGGATCGATTACCGCAAGACATTTGATACAACATCTCATGATATCATCTGTCATTTGCTCAGACGCCTTACCGTACCCGACAAAATAGTGAAATAGATTGAACACTCTAGCGAACTCGTATCATCATAACATCTGGTCCAGCCAGGGTCCAAACAAGGTGGGTCACTTTCAGAAGGGGTGTATTTCAGGGTGATTCCCTGTCCCCTTCTCTTCTGCATCTCACTATTGTCATTATCTGTTGCGCTCAGAAATAATCGAGGGTATAACTGTGGCACCCCTGGAAACCGGAGGCACAAGGTCACCCATTTGTTTTATAAGCATGATCTTAAACTGTATGCCTCCAGAGAGATGTGCAATGGTCCATCTGAAAAGAGGACGTTACAGGAACTACGGATGGGATGAGCAGCTCGTAGATGAAGGCATCCTGCACCATTTGGATGCCGAAGAGAAGTATACTTACCTCGGGGTGAAACAACGTCACTCTCTCCCCGGCAAGTATCAGAACCAATTCCGACAGATCTAGTCATCGGTACTGTCGGGGAAGAACAAAGTTGCTGCAACAAATATGCTTGCCATTCCAGTCTTACTCTACTCGTTTGAAGTAGTGGAGTGGACTCGGCAGGACCTGTATCTACTTGACGTGAAGCCCCGAAAAATGATGCATCTTTATAGGAGTTTGCATCCCAAATCGTCAGTTCCCCAGTTGTACTTTCCCCGACAACAAGGAGAACTTTGGATGTAACCTGTAAAATCGTCAGGAGTTCGGTTCCTCTTTTTGCAGGAGAGCTGGAATTGAAGCATTTCCCTTTAGGGCAGCTGCCGATCAGCTGATGAACTCTATTCAGTTTTCAACACTGAATGAGGTGATCTTAGCTGGACAGATGCAGAAGGCTGCCAATCTTGGCTCACTACGTTTGCTCAGGGCACATGATTTTCTGACAGGATGATCAATTAACCCACGGTGTGTGGAGTGGTCGTTGGTTTATAATGCTGGCGCGTCCTTCGGAATATAACGGGGCTTCGGGGGATAGGACCTGATCAGCGCATACTATCGTAAACATAATAATAGTAATAATAATGATGATAATTATGACCTTTATTAACCAAACGTGTATAACATGAAATAAAATGAAATAAATCCAGTATGGCTGAAAGGAGCCTGATCAGTCAAAAATGGTCTTCCTCTAAAATCTACAATACAAAACAAAAAAAGTTATAGATTACAGATTATGTGAATATCCCAAGAAAATTTGGAGGAAAAAAAATCAAAATCAATGGTGATTACATGTACTAATATATTGCTCATCAAAAAGTTGTTTCAGTAGGGGTTCACGAAACCTGGCCACTGACATTGTTTCAAGATTTTCAGGAAGTAGGTTATATGATGTGATTAAATTGTAAGAGAGTAATTTTTTGAATTATTCAATGTGGTGGTGCGGAATTGTAATTATTATTTAATGTCTCAGATTCAGGTTATGAACGTCTGTTAAATATCCGATTTTTTCGTCAGATAGGAAGCAAGGAACTATCACTTTATGTAGTAGCGATAAACCATGAAATTTCCACCGATTGCTCATAGGCAGCCATTTCCTAACAACCAAGTTATGAGAAATTATTTCAAACTTGCGAATGCCAAATTATCGTCTTAGAGCGTAAGCGTAATCCCAGTAGCTGGCTCGAGATAGTACCAAGAAATTGCATTAACGATCGAGTTTTTTGCCTTTTCTGTCACATTTAGTTAATATTTTTATAACTGAATGTTTATATCAGCTGGATTCGAATAATATTAAATGATTTACGACTGAATCATATTTCTTAGATATCTCTACAATTTGAAGCAGATCTTCATTTATTTCCTATTTTGATTCTACTATTGTATTCGGTCCAAAAAAGTAGTAAATTTGGGTGTCGTCTGCGTACATATGAACTCGTGAGTATTTAAAAAAAAGAGACATAACATGTGTCATTAGAGTAGATTAGAGGCTCAAGAATCAATCTTTGTGCTACTCCACGTGATATAGATCTATTTTCAAATGGAACTCCATGTAATATTCTGAGATTTTCCTGTGAGATAGTTTTCAAGAAGTTGAGTGCTTGATTTCGCTAACATATGACGTGAAGCACGGAAAGCAGTATATCGTGGTCAAGCGTCGAACCCTTCACTATAATCGAATTCTACTAGTTCACTGATATTTTCCTAAATAAGCCGTCTATTATATTGAGCAGCAGTATTCTGGTCTGAATTCCGAATGTACTGGGAAAAGGATAATATACCCATCAAGGTGGTCACGTAATAAATTGTATTTCTATTTCCCTTTCAATACTTGGCAGCTGGTAGGATGGTGAAAAGTCTTAAATCATTGAAACTTGTAGGTGAGTTATCTTTAGGAATAGGTATTACGAGCTCCTCTTTTGATGATCTGGGAATACCCCATCTACAGCACAGTAGTTTTCTGAGTGGGTGATGTAGGATGTGATGAAAGGACACATTGACCGTATGAGAGTTATGTGAGCACATGACCGTCTACTTCTAGTGTATCACCTTTGACTTCAGCTGTTTGCTTCTGCTGTTTGGCAGTTCTGAGGTGGCGAACTGAAATTTTCTTTTTTGTATCTCTTCATAGGATGCTTCATTGGCTATAGCGAATCCAGTACCTTTTAGTTTTCGTTTTCCTGAATAAATTTTGTTTTTTCAGACATGGAAAAAATTCAAGCACAACAGGGAATGCAGAAGAGTTTTTTTCGATTTGATATATGTTGTTGATATCTTGTTCAACCGGGTTGATACTGAGAACTCAAGTATTTTCTTTTAGCAGATCTGTCCCATTTGCAATATTCATGCCAAATATGATAATAGTAGTACTTTGTGCTTTTTTCTCCAGAATTTGCAATACATTTTCTGGGGTTTTGATTTTTTTCACGTTTTCATAGTTCATAGTTTGAATCAGTCTGCATAATTTCGAAGATGTAAAATTTTTCACAGGTTTATCTTCATCAGAATTCTCAACGAACTTTATATTCAAGACCGTGGTGGAATTAGTCAGCATATATATAGACAAAAACTGATAATATACTTTTTTTCACTGGGTAGGACATGCAAAATTGATCTTCAATATAAATGATCTAAATTTCTAAAATCTAGTCACATTCAGATCAGATAACCACCACCATCTAGGCTTTTTCTCTCCAATAACGGTACACAAATTATTAAGAAAACTTTCGTAACGGATCTATGCAAACCGCAGTATTCCAAACAGGTCTCCTGAAACTATTTGAGATTCTTTGGTACTCTCCTTAACTATGCAGACATTATTTTATTTATAGACTAGCTCTCCGCAAAAATGAGGCTCATTTGTAACATTGAAAAATGTGTTCCTCGATGTTCACATATTCGAGTAATGCTTTGGTTAGATAAGGCTGAGAGAAGATTTCTACACAGCTACGCGTTTTACTGTAAACTGCTCATGCCTAGAAATCCTACCTACCTGTACAGTCAAAAGGGAGTATAAACCCATAATAGAAATGTTCGTTTCAAAAGAAAGTAATCTGAAACAAGATTTCACAACTCTCAGTCGATTAATTCAGGAACCTTATTTTATTATTTTTCTCACGTTCACCTTGAATTGAATAGGAATTCTTTCTGAATAGAATACGTGATATATTTTCTTTCATATAAATCCTTTCTATTGCTCAGGATGGTATCATCCTCACATATATTTCTCTCACAATAAGTATTGGTAACGTTAGCGTGCACTTCAGTATTTTACTTGTATATATTTTTCTCTTCGATTTGAGTTCGGGTGTAAGAGCGCGGCCTCTTTATTGCAAAACAATGAAGTACGAATTCTGCCTTCTTCCATTGTTTTATTCGAATTGACAATAAAATATTATTATTAATGTAACTATCATTTTATTATTATCATCAATTACTGATTTGGGTTATTACATGTTGGTTTACTTCAGCCTACTATGTTAGGAATCACACGTTAAAGCTAGGAACCCAATAATATTTTGCTCGTACAAGTTTCGAATTTTGAAAGTTGTCATTCGTAGACGGGCGACAGCTGGTTAACAGAAAAATAGATTTTAACAGAATATACAGATTTAATGTTTTTATTCATTTTACACTGTTTCTTTTCGAATATATCATGATGATTCAATCGAAGTTCTTATAAGAATTGAGAACTTTTATTTACAGGACGCGTTATTTACAAATAATTTTCATTAATTTGTTTTTCACTACTGAAGTTTCTCTTCTGGTTGGGGATGTGCTGCAATCCATTCTAAAGCTCTAAGTATCGCAGGTGGAACTGGATGTGGTGTTGGTAAGATATCTGATTGAGGTTGGAATCCATCCTTATTAGCAATATAAGAAACCTGGATTTTTGAGCCGTCGTCATTGGTATACTCATATGATCCAGCAACTTCTAGTTCAGCTTCTTCAGGATTGTCACCAACTTTCACTTGGCCTTTTTCTTGGGCACTGATACCGTTTCCAGTCTCAATACTATAAATTTAAAAAACAGAGTAAATAAAGTTATTTTGTATTTCGCATATAAGTATGGTTAATCGCTCAGTTAGAAAAAAGTAACAGAAATATCTAATTTCAAAATTTTTTGGAAAGGTTGATCATACAATGGACTGTCTCAGAAAAAATCGAGAAGTAATTTATTAGAGCATTCTATTGTTAGTAACGAAACGATGTTTTCATTGATATTCGCTATTTTAGTTTGAAAGAAATAGAGCATATTTTTTATTGTCGATGTTTTAAGATTGTTTATGCGTTTTTTCATGTCATGATCCCTTCTAGGTTGATGAAACTCTAGTTCTCCAGACTTATATGAAGTGATTTATTTCCAGAATCGAGATAAGGAAGAATTGCATTTATTAGTCTCTTCTTGAATTATTGCAAAGTACATATTATAGCCCTCTTATATGGTATATGTTATATTTTATGAAAAAAAATTACTTACTTCCATTGATATGATCCATCCGCGTTGACACCTTCATTGTCATACCTCACGATTGGAATTGGTTCAGCAGTTGATTCGCTAGCAGGAGCACAATTCACTGCAGCAATTGCCAAACTGAGAATGATCTGTGAAATACAATAAATATTATTCCCTGATGCACTTTATTTTCCATTGAATTCGAATTGCGTTGTCAAACTATCTCCTGAGAAATTTATCAACAAGTAATAATGCTTGTTGAAAATCAATAACGTATTCAAGTATCACTTATTGTAAGATTTTCGCATAGAAACGCGTAATCTAAATCCGTTTTACGGTTTCATATACTGTTCTGACAATCGAGTTGAAAAGCAGCTTTAGCTGACACTACGCCCTTTATTCATTAGGTCTTCTTCTATTGATATGGATACAATTAGGATATCGTGTATATCTTGTGACGAATATCATCATTATTATTATTATAAACTCTCTCAACGGATTGTCACTTCAATGGATCGAGTAATGGATAAATGAAAATTGTGTTAAAATTATGAGTTTTCTGTTATGACATTTGGCACCACAATTGTTTTTATATTGTGTTGTACTTTACATCTGATAAAATATATAAAATGAAAAAATCTTATAAATACTCACCAGCTTCATTTTGATGATTATAGGTACAAATCACGTCTATGCCGGTTCGAATAATGTTGAAGGTATTTATATTTTTCGCACTGATTACTCCCACCATTTGAACAATCCCAAAATAATTTTTAAAACCGTTTGGCGGTATTTGAACATACAAATAAACTTCAACACAGGTGACGAAACCTGTATGAAGATGACAATTAATGTCTTGCATTACGTAATTTGTGATAATTGAAAACGCACGATAAAATGAATTCTTGATTGATCATTTTGAATATTTTCTGAAATATACATTCTTTTGGGGAATCAGGTGCTCCAACGTGTTCTCAATACAGATAAAGGCAGGAGGTAAAAATTAATAAACAAAAATTGTTTCAGTTTATCTGAATGTTGGACGGTAGCTAGTTGGTTAGATGTAACTGAATCATTCTTCTCATTCAATCGATCGCGATGTGCAACTGTGGTTTAAGTCCTACAGCCGGATCATGGATTTTCTCTGCTCATCTTTCGACCCTTTCTGGAAATTGCACTTTGAAAGGTAATCCTAAGCTCGCACAAATTTGGACTTCTGTAGGGCTGTCGTTCGGGGGCGGGGGGTGAGAGCTGATTGACGAAAAAAAGATTTCAATAGATTCATTCGATTATATGTACGGACACATAAATAGATAAACATTTGAATGGAAAACTCCCTTCTGAAATTTGAATATTTTGGAGCACAAGAATTCACATGATTTTCTTCAGAGAGCCGGTTGTAGAAATTGGATTCATGAAACGACCCAAAGAAACATTCAGGGCCTATAGGTTCTCAGTAGAAAAAAAGATTGCTCTGATAATGGCATCGCAATCGACATCGAAGGATCATTTGACAATGCACTTTTTGAATGTATAGAATTAACATTGGTTGAAAAAGGAATAGACTTAATCATAACTGGTGGATTCTATGCTATGCAGAACAGCAACCACGACCCTTCATAATGGAGCATCAAGGGTTAGGATCACCAATAGCTCTTCCCAGGACGGGGTACCATTTCCCTTACTGTGGTCACTCTTGATGGATAGTCAGCTTGATGTCTTGACCGTGGAGCAGTAGATCTGCAACCTTATGCAGATGATCTCATCATCCTGGTTGACAGAAACAGTCTGTGATATTTTCAAAATATTAGCGGTCATTGTTTACAGTTGGTACCACGGGGCGCAGCAAAACTGTTATAGTCTTCTTCACATAAAAAAAATAGAAGATTCAACTTCACTTTTTTCAATGTTGAGGTGTTTTCATCTGCAACGGAGGTGAAAAATTAAGGTTTTATCATAGATGAAACACTGATCTGGAACATTCAACTTGACGAAAGTTTTACAACAAACCACACTGTTCCTATGGATTATATCCATTGGATATATATGATAATTTTCAGACCGATGCTAGTGAACGAATCAATTGACTCGTGGCCAAAAGCTCAGCAAACGAATCAGTCGAAGCTGTCTCGTGTACAGAGGCAGGCTTGCCTGGCTATCTTTGGTACCTACCAACAACACCATACCGACAGCGGCAATGAAAATCTTTCTTGACCTCTTTCTTAATATCTTCCTTCCAGTAGACAATATTAGGAATCGAAAAAATAAGTCAATTTTATTATCAACGGGACACTTTGAAGGACTATTTGTAGCCTCCATGGTTCAACTTCCCAGAAGGGGTAGATGTTCCAGAAGGGGTAGATGTTACCCTTAGGTTTCAAATGGAAGGAAGTGTCAAGTGGCACATCATTTTGATTGGCGTTCAATTCTGCTTCCAATGGGAAATGTAACAACTGTGTAAGGAGCTGCATAGATATCGATTGGTCTGCTCTTCAAAATATGGTGTAATTTGAAATTGATGAAGCTCTTCCTTTTCTACAAATTGAAGTCAATGAACTCAGAGTAGATATTTCTAGAGTACCTAACACACGAAACTGAATGTGCTACCCATATGCCTCTTAGATACGCTGACGTGCTCAGAGACATCTCAACCTGAGGTGATCGTTCATCTCAAGAATAACGTTAGATCAGTTCCGCAAACAAATTGACTATTATAAGAAAACAAGTATAGTTGAGACATCAGTGAATATAATAATAACACTGATGATCTTGTGATGCACTGTTTGGAACCTTTGGTATAGTAGTTATTTTCGTTCTCTTGAAGATGATCCCTTGGTGATCGAAACACGTGACGAGGTATTGAAATAACGGTTTGATGTTGGAAAAAACTCAAGTAATATTCAACACTGATGGTCTTTAAACATGACTCAACCTCTGACGGAAGCACCAAACTCTTACGAAGGTTCGAAATAGATGAACTCTTCAATCTAGCAGATCAATATTACCTATAATCTTCATGCAGTCATTGTTCACTGTGGTTTTGGTCATTATTACACATTGGTCAAAGACGAAACGGACTGGTTTGAGTTTGACGATGCTTGTGTCAGTAAGTATTCTGACGATGTCTTGAATTCATTGAAGCTTCTGGATACACCATACATTTTGTTTCATGAAAAAGAGGACATTAGCAGATCAAGATCTTCAGATGATGTGGTGCTGCAGGTTTTCCGGGTTTTTCTGCAGCTGAAAAAGCAAATGCGCCACCGGAATCATCGAAGTCGCCCTGAAGCGCCAATTAATTTTTGTTGTTGTTTCATAATTTCATGATTTGTAATACTTTCTTCTTCAATATATTTCTGTAGTATTTCATTTCGTATTATTGAAATTTCACTATTCCGCTTTGAAACTTGAATCCCAATCTCTGTGCTATCTCAGATGCATTTCATATTTCTGAACGTTTTGTCAATTTAATATGGGTTAATTTGAGTTTTCATCAACTCCATGTCCATTTGAATAAATATATAAAAGAACAAATATACTCTTTGACAATTTTTGGTTAAATCATCATTGGAATCAGCTCAATCTCTAATCCAGACAGTTGCAATAATCGAGTATAGAAGTGAATATCGTGTTTTCATTTACTGTATCACAATATTATTCAATGACGAATTAATTTGTATTTTGAGTGCAGACCGTAAGTTGACCGAAGTTTGGTTCAGATTTATATAGTTCAAAGGATAAATGAAAGACAAGTAACCTTGAATATACATGAAACGTCGAAGATACCGAACTGACCAAATACATCAATTATCCATTGCAGCTACAGTGGACTCAAAACTTAGCGAAGAAAATGAAGTTCTCATGAATGGAAATAATTATATCGACTGTTTTCTTTTCCTTGAGGAGAACGCTTCACCTCACCATATGTCTATTTCACACATGCGACTCTAGTTGGTGGCGACCCACCAACCCAATAAAATACCTCTCATAATTTCATGAGTTTGTTATTGAAAATACTTGCAATACTTCAGAAATAAGGTGTGATATTGACTTCATTTAACTTCAGTCGATTGACAGCACCATCTCTTCAGGGCTTTGTAACACGACATCGGTACTGTGAACACCAAAGCAGATATTTTTTTCATGTTTCTCCCTCATCGATTGTTCGAGCGTAAGAAAACCTTTATTATCTATAAATTGATGTAACCGTTACTGCGTGGTTGGAGATCATCATGAAAAATGAAAAATAAAACTTTCTATGTTTTTTTACCACTTGCATTTTCAACTAACGTTACTGCAGTTTCGTCCTATAAGGACATTTTCAGACAAATACAATACACTAAAAATAATTGATAATGTTAGCCCTGAATACAATAACAGAGGTACTTAACTCAATTGAGTACCCGAATTTCGTTCACCTTCGACAATGTGGGTATACTAATTTGAAAACCAGTGAGTAGATTATCGATTCGATCATTTAGCAGGTTACATCCGCAATACATATGCTTAGATACGCTGACGTGCTCAGAGACATCTCAACCTGAGGTGATCGTTCATCTCAAGAATAACGTTAGATCAGTTCCGCAAACAAATTGACTATTATAAGAAAACAAGTATAGTTGAGACATCAGTGAATATAATAATAACACTGATGATCTTGTGATGCACTGTTTGGAACCTTTGGTATAGTAGTTATTTTCGTTCTCTTGAAGATGATCCCTTGGTGATCGAAACACGTGACGAGGTATTGAAATAACGGTTTGATGTTGGAAAAAACTCAAGTAATATTCAACACTGATGGTCTTTAAACATGACTCAACCTCTGACGGAAGCACCAAACTCTTACGAAGGTTCGAAATAGATGAACTCTTCAATCTAGCAGATCAATATTACCTATAATCTTCATGCAGTCATTGTTCACTGTGGTTTTGGTCATTATTACACATTGGTCAAAGACGAAACGGACTGGTTTGAGTTTGACGATGCTTGTGTCAGTAAGTATTCTGACGATGTCTTGAATTCATTGAAGCTTCTGGATACACCATACATTTTGTTTCATGAAAAAGAGGACATTAGCAGATCAAGATCTTCAGATGATGTGGTGCTGCAGGTTTTCCGGGTTTTTCTGCAGCTGAAAAAGCAAATGCGCCACCGGAATCATCGAAGTCGCCCTGAAGCGCCAATTAATTTTTGTTGTTGTTTCATAATTTCATGATTTGTAATACTTTCTTCTTCAATATATTTCTGTAGTATTTCATTTCGTATTATTGAAATTTCACTATTCCGCTTTGAAACTTGAATCCCAATCTCTGTGCTATCTCAGATGCATTTCATATTTCTGAACGTTTTGTCAATTTAATATGGGTTAATTTGAGTTTTCATCAACTCCATGTCCATTTGAATAAATATATAAAAGAACAAATATACTCTTTGACAATTTTTGGTTAAATCATCATTGGAATCAGCTCAATCTCTAATCCAGACAGTTGCAATAATCGAGTATAGAAGTGAATATCGTGTTTTCATTTACTGTATCACAATATTATTCAATGACGAATTAATTTGTATTTTGAGTGCAGACCGTAAGTTGACCGAAGTTTGGTTCAGATTTATATAGTTCAAAGGATAAATGAAAGACAAGTAACCTTGAATATACATGAAACGTCGAAGATACCGAACTGACCAAATACATCAATTATCCATTGCAGCTACAGTGGACTCAAAACTTAGCGAAGAAAATGAAGTT